GTGTAAGAGAGCATGAGTGTGAGGTTGATATATCAAAATTCTCCAAGTTCTATTTTTTGTTTTAATTATTCCTTTATACTAAGGACAAGTAGTTATGATATGATTGTATAGATCCTGAGCAGGGTATATAATTTTTTGAAAAATAAATAAAGATGTATATATTGATACTTTAATCAATAATTTTATTTATAATAGTATTTATATTGATAAAAGAAATGAGATAACTCTTGTTGTCGTATATTAAAAGATATATATTTTTTTAAAATTAGATTATTGGGCATGACACATCTAATTAGGTGGTTACTTGCAAAATAATATCATTAAATTATGGTAATGGCCCAAGCTTAATTATTTTCCATTGGGTCCAAATCTTGTGAGAAGTGAATCATAAGGTATACTTAATAGGGCATAAACCATCTAGTTAACTAAGATTGACTTAAAGTTGTTTTATTAGGCAAACATTTATCTTATATCTATAAGGTTCTCTTAGACGATGCAACCTATAGCTATCGATAAATATGCTTTGATCATATAAATACGATTACCTCCTATGAAAAAGTAGATCATGAATCAAGGTAACTGGGGCTGATGAAACTATGGAATTTTGATTGGGTTCATTATCACCCCACCATCTTCTTTAAGCTAATGGCACCAAAGTTCCTTCAACGTCCCTAAAATTAAATCCTTGCTGCTATATGTTAAGCACTTAGTGTCTATTTAATGATTAGTCATAATTAAAAGTTCTCTTTCATTATTAAGAGAGACAATTAACCATAAGGACTTGCACATATGAGAAACCTAGAATTATATCATAAAGTCATTATAAAATGAGGGCTAAATCTATGGGTAGTGTTTTTTTATACAATCTAATATATATTTTAAAACTATGACTCATAATACCTAACTTAGCGGTGTAAATGAGTTGACTTGAGCTCAAGTATGGTCTAACTCGAGCTCGGCTTGTCAACTCAAAGGCGATCGACCTTGAGTTGAGCTCCTACGGTGAGCTATAGCTCAAATAGTCGGAGTTTCAGCAAGCTTAAGCTCAATTCATGAGCTTGACTTGCCGGATAATGGAGGAAGTGAGGACTGCATGCTTGTAGGAGTTACGTCCAGCTTAAACTCAGAATCAAAAGAGAGAAGAATTGGCTCACGGTGAGTCACTCATTAGAGTTACGTCGGGTTTGCACTCGGAAGTGAGGATGTATGGTGAGAAAAAGAAACGTTGAAGAAGAAGATAATGTTACACAACTCACCATAGCCTGTTGGTTGAGAGCTTATGCTTTTAGATAATGTCCTTATGGTTAACTGCCTCTCTTTAAAATACGCCTGTCTAATAATTATGTAATTTCGTGAATACACTTTTTTTCCATTAGCATTATTCACCATGAAAATTTAAAATTTTAGTACAAAAGTTTAAATTCACCATGTTAACTTCTTGATTTTTCAATATTACCAAAATTCCTGTACTCTGACTTTTTAGTGAAATTATAAAAATAAATGAGTTTAATTTTATGTGTTTATTTTTCAAAGTCAATGAAGAACATGAAAATTATAACTGGTTGTTGCCTTATCCTTGCAATGAGGTTGAACTTAAATAATTTGTTGCACTCAATAATTCAAAATAATCTATCATATGCTCATCTAAGGCTTCATTTCGAATAGTTTTCTTACTGCTTTTTAAAGCAACTTTCTAGTACAAAAATTAAAATTTTTATACTAAAAAATTATTTTAAAAAATAGTGAAAAAACCGTCTCACAATATCTAATTATCTCTCTTAGATGTGATTAAATTATCTCCCCATCCAAATCCCTCATTATCCTTATAATGAAGCTCATATGACTAATTACCTAAATATGCCCCAACATCTACTATACCAACATGACTTAAGATGCCCTTTTCCACAACTCAACTAAAATGAGGATAATTTGAATCAACATGATCCACTCAGTTATTTAGACAAACAAGATTCAGTGCCCCCTCTATTATTAACCTTATCAACCAATTATAATATATAGTACTTAGTGGATCATTTTGTCAACCCATTAATCAAGAAATGTTTATATTTAGTGGTCACATTCTTGATACATTGCTTATTGTTAGTGCCACCTCAATGATAAGCTAAGCTTTCATATCATCTATCAAGTCAAATTTAAACCCGCTTTCAAGTTACCAAATTTAACGTTCAAATAATTGGGTAACTATGTTAATTATAAAAACGTTACATCTCGAACACAATCCACCAAAGTTCCTTCAACGTCCCTAAAATTAAATCCTTGCTACTATATGTTAAGCAGTTAGTGTCTATTTAATGATTAGTCATAATTAAAAGTTCTCTTTCATTATTAAGAGAGACAATTAACCATAAAGACTTGCACATATGAGAAACCTAGAATTATATCATAAAGTCATTATAAAATGAGGGCTAAATCTATGGCTAGTGTTTTTTATACAATCTAATATATATTCTAAAACTATGACTCATAATACCTAACTTAGCGGTGTAAATGAGTTGACTTGAGCTCAAGTATAGTCTAACTCGAGCTCGGCTTGTCAACTCAAAGGCGAGCTTGACCTTGTGAGCTCTAGCTCGAATAGTCGGAGTTTCAGCAAGCTTAAGCTCAATTCATGAGCTTGACTTGCCGGATAATGGAGGAAGTGAGGGCTGCATGCTTGTATGAGTTACGTCCAGCTTAAACTCAGAATTCCAAGAGAGAAGAATTGGCTCACGGTGAGTCACTCATCAGAGTTACGTTGGGTTTGCACTCGGAAGTGAGGATGTCTGGTGAGAAAAAGAAACGTTGAAGAAGAAGATAATGTTACACAACTCACCTTAGTCTGTTGGTTGAGAGCTTATGCTTTTAGATAATGTGCTTATGTTTAATTGTCTCTCTTATAGATACGCCTGTCTAATAATTATGTAATTTCATGAATACACTTTTTTTTCCATTAGCATTATTCACCATGAAAATTTTAGTACAAATATCTATATTTGCAAAATTCAGATTTTCCTAAAATCTTATATTTATGAAATTAACATTATATTTATAAAAAAGTATATTCCATGAATTTTCAAATAATCTAAAAATTTTTTTGGGTTCCATCGCTATCCGTGGTTTAACCTCGTGTAATCATTAAATCTTTTGTGGTTATTTCCCAACTTTCAAAATTTTGAAAATTCTAACTTTAATTCAAAAGTTTTAAAAATTGCCACCTATCCTTACTTTTAATAAAAATTCCAAGTTTAAATTCACCATGTTAACTTCTTGATTTTTCAATATTACCAAAATTCCTGTGCTCTGACTTTTTAGTGAAATTATAAAAATAAATGAGTTCAATTTTATGTGTTTATTTTTGAAAGTCATTGAAGAACATGGAAATTATAACTGTTTGTTGCCTTATCCTTGCAATGAGGTTGAACTTAAATAATTTGTTGCACTGAATAATTCAAAATAATCTATCGCTCATCTAAGGTTTCTTTGGAACGGCTTTCTTACTGCTTCTTAAAACAACTTTTTAGTACAAAAATTAAATTTTTTGTACTAAATAGCTATATTAAAAAACAGTGAAAAAACCGTCTCACAATATCTAATTATCTCTCTTAGATTTGATTAAATTATCTCCCCATCCAAATCCCTCATTATCTTTATAGTGAAGCTCATATGACTAATTACCTAAATATGCCCCAACATCTACTATTCCAACATCACTTAAGATGCCCTTTTCCACAACTAACTAAAATGAGGATAATTTGAATCAACCTGATCCACTCATAGTTATTTAGACAAACAAGATTCTATGCCTCCTCTATTATTAACCTTATCAACCAATTATAATATACAATACTTAGTGGATCATTTTGTCAACCCATTAATCAAGAAAATGTTCATCTTTAGTGGTCACATTCTTGATACATTGCTTATTGTTAGTGCTATCTCCATGATAAGCTAAGCTTTCATATCATCTATCAAGTCAAATTTAAACCCGCTTTCAAGTTACCAAATTTAACGTTCACATAATTGGGTAACTATGTTAATTATAAAAACGTTACATCTTGAACACAATCCACTAAATACAAGCAACAAATCTTAACATGTAATCTTTTTGTGAAGATTGCTCAACCCATGTGTATGCCCGTCGGATCACTCTCATGAGCTTGTAAGCCCAAAAAACCTACCCTTCTGAAGTTCAAGCTTCAAGGATCCCATTCACTATCTAATCTTCTCTCAAGTACAATCCTGCCATAATTAAAATGAATACAAATACCACTAAAGAATTGCTCATTATTCAATCTCAAATTCATTGTATTCAATCAGATGAAATTAGCACTAGAAGGGACATGTTAAATACCCTTTTATTGAATGATTAGCATGACTACTAATAACATTGTAATATAATTATAATAAAGCTATATGGTTGGATTTTTAACATGATTTCCACAATACTATTAAATAATTACATTAAAATTTTGATTACGGGGTAGTTGACCTAGTTTTGATGATACCTTTATATTCTAGTATAAACAATATTTGTGTGCTTGTAGATAGAATGTGTTTGAGCATTTGGACCAATTGATTGGATTGTCGCCACCATTGCATGATCTCATCCATGCATTCCCTTGTACGTGTCGAAGCCTTCACCTACGAGAGCGCATGAGATTTCCTCGCTTCTTTGTTGCTGGGGTATCATGAATTTTAGTGGGATCATTGTCGTCGCTGGGGCTCGCAGGTGAGGGCATCAATTGGTTCAAGTGAGACAAGTTCGTCTGTAGAGGCATCGATGAATTGGTTCAAGTGATGCTAACTTCTAACTAGTTTTGGCTCACCTTAAAAAAAAAAAAAAAATCTAGATGGGAGTGATTTATATATACTGTTTACCAAATAGGCAAATAGTATAGCCAATAAGATAAGAAGGCTGATTATTTACATTATTTTAAGGGCTTTCCACTTTTACTGATTACGCAAATGCTAATAAGTCCAGATAATTTCATCACCCACGAAAACCCCAAATTTGTCGCAGAGCGGGAAATAAACAAACTTCGGAAGAAGGCAGAGTTGTGAAATGAAAGCTCTCCTCCACCGTGCTTAAGGTGGCGCATCTCCGTTTCATTGCCTCGCTCTTCTCTGCATAGCAGAACCAGTGCTTGTCAATGGCGACGGGAAGAGGGCTTGTATCGTTCATCTCAGCTGCGGCGGCGGCTATACTGGCCATCTTCGTTTTCTTGCTCCTCAACCCCTCACGTAAGCGGGAACCTAACTAGAAACATCTTTACTTACCAGCTTTTATCGCAGTTCCTCAAACCATCTATGGATTGCTCATGGATACGCAGGGAGACATCTGATTTGGTTTAGGGATTCTGCAGCGGACTTGGTGGTAAGAAACGCTACTATCTACACCAGTGTCGCATCGATCCCCTTTGCGGAAGCGATGGCAGTACGGAACGGGCGGATCCTTAGAATCGGAACTGATGCTCATGTTCGGGTAATAATATTTTTACAATTTCCCACGATAATTCCTAATTTTAATTATTCTTTATTTCCATTGTAATTAAGCTCAGTCTTATAACGTTGGACTTTGGCACGAACTTAGCATGCGAAAATTTTTGTTGTGCCCTTTTGCAACTGCAGGGTTTGATAGGTTATAGGACGCATGAGTTGAATCTTGAAGGGAAGGTAGTCCTGCCAGGATTTATAGATTCTCACGTCCATCTGATTTCTGGGGGTTTGCAGGTACTATCACACGTATTTCTATCTTCTGGGGTTTAAAAAGTATCCATCTGTAGAAATTTGTTTCGTTGAATTATTATACTTGCTTCTACTGGCCTTGCCTACCTAATCATTGTTGCCTCTTTATTTCTAAAAATTCAACCACTTATGCATCATAGGTGATCTTATCATATAACATTATGCATACTATATCTGAACCTGCAAAATCTTGAGGCAGACTTGGGAAGATATAAAGGTGTCACCCCGGCTTCGGAAGGCAGTACCCCTTGACAACATGGGATTCGATGAAGGGATAAAAAGATCTGTTTGGTTCTCACAAAAATGAAAAATGCATAAACCGATAATATAACCAGTTATATTAGAGTAAATAATGAAAATGAAACTAATTATTCATTTAATTAATATGATAACATTACACCAAAATAATAGTACTGATACAAACAAAAGAAATGTAAATGAAACAAATGATAGGAAAGAAACTATCCAACCCTTAAAGAAAATATATTATAATTTACTACAAAATGTTAAATACCAAATGTACTCATCATCCATTGAAGGGATCAAAGCCTTCTATTATTGATCAAGAAGAGTGGGAGTTGATTGACAGGCAAGTATTAGGTGTTATTCACTTCTACCTGACCAAGAACATTTCTTTCAACATTTTCAATGAAAAGATCAAAAGACCATAACAAATGTGATGAAAGCATTATCAAACATGTATGAGAAGCCCTTTATTATTAATAAGATACATCTCATGCATAGACTTTCAATCTTGAGATTTCTGAAGAAGCCTTTGTTGTTGAGTCACAAGTCATTTAAGCTCCATGGATATCAACATTGATGATAAAATTCATGCCTTGAGTCTACTTTCATCGCTTCTTGAAACTTGGAATATGGTGTGACAAAAACCATCAAACCTTATTATGAATTAAACAAATTATAGCTAAAAGAAATAATGGTTTTTCAAGCTTCATTAAACTCACCTCTCCTTAAATATTTACCCATCTTTACTGCAGCAACAAGATAGGTTGTTGCATTCATATCACAGGGAAAATGGAATGTCTTTTCATTTGGTAAATTAAATTTTATTCTCTTCTTCCAAAATTCAATTGTAGCAAAATGTTTAACTAACTAATTCATTCTCAAGATGATGTCAAATATTTTAATAGGCACTATAATCAATTTTGTTGAAAATTTGTGACCCTGAATATTCAAATTCATAAGACACTTCCTATTGGCAGACAAACTATCAAGGCTTTTAAAACCGGACCGGTCAATGAACTGGAAGGAGGGGTTAGAGGTTTGATGGTTCGACTGGGGTCGAACCGGGGTCGAACCGGATGATGTAATAAATATTTATTATATTTAAATATTATAATAATGACATAATTATTTATAAATATATAACAAAAATTGAAAAAAAATATAATTACTTTTACTTATATAATAGTGAAATGTTAG